AATTTCTCTTTTCATTAACTTTAATGAAAAATATATATATATATATATATATATATCTACAATGCTTTATCCTTTTAAATTTTTATCAGATTCAAATTTGATGAATTTTTAATCTGATAAAAAATATATTTTTCTTGATTTAATATACATTTGATGAAAGAATTGAAAATAATTTTTGAGTACTTTTTCATTTAAATTTGATGGGAAAAAAAAAAAGATTGAAAATGCTCAGGCATTTTTCTCTCTTTATTTCTTAAAGTTTTGTTGAAATCTCACTTTAACTTCTTTTTTTAGAATAAACGATTAATAGGTCATAATAGTTAGATTTAATTTCCATCAAGTCCAATTGAAAATAAGTCCTAGTAAAATTGTAACTCAAAAATAATTTTTTGTGACGATTTTTTACATATGTCGCTAAAAATTGATAATTAGTGACTTTTTTTGGTTACGTTTTTTTTATAAATTGTCGCTAAAATTTATAATTAGTAACATTCTTCTATGATAAAATTTTCAAACTATTGCTGAAAATTGAAAATTAGTGATTTTTTGTGATGATTTTTTTGAACTGTCGTTAAAACTTATAATTAGTGATATTTTTTATGACAATTTTTAAATTGTCGTTGAAAATTAACACTTAGTGACTTTTTTTAATGGTATTTGATAAAAAACATCATTAATTATTATAGGACCTATTTGGTAATAAGTTCACTTATTAGGAATTTTGGCTGTCAAAATTGAAAATGAAAAATACTAAAATGAGATTTGCATCAAAATACTGAGATGGTAAGCATAATTAACGCTTGCTTTTTTTTTTGGCTAATGGTGTTTTGATACGTTTTCAAAATTATTCCTACATATAGCCAGCAAAATATACAAAGAGATCATATCCAGATATTTTAATTATGGTGAAGATCTCATTTAATGCATCAAATATTTTAGCCTCTCATTGAGATTTTTAACAACAAATTTGCAATTCTATATTTATCAGCATCAAATTATGTAATTATTATCTTTCTTTTTCAGTTTTCTTACATTTAAAAAAAGAAAAGAAAAGAAAGTATTATGTAATTCTATACCCTACACTCCACATAATTTTTTTGTAGACCCTAAATCATCTTATATTCACATCCTTTTATGATTTTGTTCACAAGAAAAATGTCTGATAAGGTTGACATAATGACCTGTTTGGTAGGGCTTATTTCCAGCTTATTTCAGTTTTTAGCTTAATTTAAGCTATTTTGATGTGTTTGGTTCAGTTTAACAATACAGTTTATAACTTTTTGTAAGCCAAAAATCAACTTATTCTTTTAGTAGGGGAGGAGAAGCTTAATTTATAAGTCAAAAATCAGGTTATGTTGACAGCTATAAGCTATAAGTTGTTAGGCTATAAGTTGTAATCACTTTCCCACAGCTCTACCAAACAGGGCCAATAGCCTTCTTTAAAAATGTTACCTCTATGGGCATATTTTTGTAGATCTTATTTTTATAGATTACTTCAAATATGAATTTTGATAAAATCTTTCAATTTTCTTTAGGTCTCTTATCTTCTAATTAGATATTATATTCATTTATTTTTGTAAAAATAATAATAATTGAATGTTCTAAATGTATCCCTAAAAAACATACCATTAAATTTTAATTTTAAAATATTCTAGTATCGAAAAAGAAAAAAATTATAACATATTTGGAAAATTTTGAAGTTTCAATATTGATTACAAATTATCATTTGTACTTTTATGAAAAACTAATACTATACAAACAAATATATTTATAAACTTTTCTAATTTAATGATATGCCACTTATTAAGAGTGTAAAAATGGCTCGCAACCCGGGGTGGGCCAGGTCTGTTTAGGCCTGTTTGGGCCCGAGCCTAAGTCTAGCCCGAGCCCATGGGTCTGAGCCATTATTTTGAAGCTTGGCTCGCCTGGCCTAACCTATTAGCTCGCTTAAGGCCCACTCAAGGTCCGACCCGAGACTCATTGTCTTTTTTAGTGAAAAATAATAAAATTTTGGTAGGAAAAAAAAAAAAAACGATCAGGCTGGCCCAAGCCCGAGGCCAGGTCTAGGCTCACCTGCCCGTCCAAGGCCCCGAATACCCCTAGGCATGTGTCTAATTTTTTAGTTCGTGGACCGGACCGGGCTGGGCTGGCCCGAATTTTGGTGGGAACTCGCGAGGCCCGACATGGGCCAGGCCAGGCCAGGTCGGATTTACATCCCTATCACTTATCATATTAGCCTGGTCGGTCTGAGTTCAAAAATTAAAATTTTATTACTGAATGCCACGTCATGAGTATAAAAAATTGTTAGTTTTAATAGGTTATGACATTTTTCTTTTTGAATTTTTTAAATGTACAGATTAAATTAGGCGTATTTTTTTTTAAAATTATTTTATATACATGTAAGAGAGTGTATATTGAAGAAATATGTTAGAGAGTGTATGTTGAAGAAATATGTTATCCTTTTATTGTACACTTAAAAGCGATACTTTTTTTTTTTGGGTGATCTTTTCCAATATTGCTTTAGATATGTGAATGCTTCTTTCTTTACACATGATACATATTGTTAAAATGTCAATTAAGTGCTAATTTGATCTTTTAAGCTTACCATTCATCAAAACTTGTTCCTAGTATTATCTATCCATTTATCTGTATATCTTTATGTTTATCATCTAAATGTGCTGTTCTTGAAACTCTAATTTATTATTAATGAATGCTAAATATTTAGTCATTGCTCCACAAAATTTTTATGCTAAACCGCAAATGCGAACATAGGAAACATTGTTTATTTGGTGATGACACATTATTAGCCTATTCTAAATATTAACAACATATTTTTTTTAGCTTAATTCAAATTTGAGCAATTATTTTAGTACTTCGTTGTTGATTTGCCTTCATTTTTTTGGTTTTGGTTTGTGAAGTTATAATATTTTGGTCAATTTCTAATTTTTCCAATATATGTAATGTGTTTTATATACTTCGCCAATTTGTTAAAGTTTATATTAATTTTTTTCACCATCTTTTGATTATTGATTAATTATTTACATCTACATTAAAAAATATAAACTTTGTCCTCCAAATTTCACACCTTTCGCAACGGAATTTTGATCTTTAGCTACAAATATTTTCATCACTAAAAATTCTTTTTAGGCCAGTGATGACATGAATTTCAACCATGGCAACCATATATGTATGGCCTGTAAAACACTTGAACAAAAAACAAAAAAGAAAAGAAACACAAAACTGATCAGAATTTGATCAATAAAGGTTAATTAGGTTAAGTTTTTACAAATTTGCACCTAAATTTTTGAATTGGTTAAATTTATATGTCAAAATTTTACTATGGGTACTTTTGTGGAGTATCATCTATGCTACTTTACTTGAACAAGCCAACTATGAATACCTTACTTTAAAAAGAGGAAACACACACGCATGCACACAACAAAAAAAGAAGAAGAAGAAAGTAGACGAAGAAGAAGATTGCACTTATGAAATTTGAAGCGATTAATTAAGTGATAAGTTGAACTGTGATAACTGTCTCAAAAGAAATAAATCACTAGTTTGAATGTCACGCAACATTAATTTGACTTCTCTGACATTATTCAGGCATTTGATCGATTATTACCTAATATATGTGTTAGACAAGTAGAGTGTATATACCGAAAAATTAACCGGAGAAATTTTTTAAATACATTTATTACCAATAAAAATGAACTTATATATGAAACATGTGGTTCACATGTAAAAGAGTGTCACCTTTTTTCTTCGTTAATTTTTTTTCTCTTCTACTAATGTTGAAAAATGAACTTATGAAACATGTGGTTCACATGTTAAATAGTGTCACCTTATTGAAAGTTTTTTATTTATTTATTTATTATTTTAGTAATGTTGTTTTACTTGTAAAAATGAATGGGGAATATTACCAAACAATACCGGCAACCAAACATGTCTTGCAATTAACATGGTAATTCACACCAACTCAGTTGATCATCTGTGTAATGGATGATGACAAACTATAATAAGAATATGAAAATTGTAGGGGAGTATTTTATGAGTGACAGCACGTGGCTAAGGTGACACCGAAATGTTAGCCGAGATGTCACATGGCCTAGTCATGTTTACCGAGATTATCTCAGCTAGGCTGAGGTTATTTGCGAAAATGCCAGAATTTGGGATAAGCAGATAAGGGACAAGAGTCCTACAACAGGGGAGGATCTCAATCTGGATAGAGATAAAGCTCAAGAAGAGTTTATCTCTATCTAGATAAGGGTCCAGGATGAACATGGAGCCTGAGTCTATTGAAGTGAGACTTCTAAGGAGATCAGGTCACTGCTGATTATAAAAACAAGACACCCTCGTGGGTCTGAGATAAGTTCTTTCTTGTGAGTTTAAGCACAATTTGCTATCTTTGAGAGATATTGATTACTGACTTCATCGTCGAAGTACCCCTAGGTAGATGAACCATCGTCGAATTCTCATCTTCTTGTGCAGGTTGTTAGGCTTAATCTATTCTGCTGATACTCTCCAGCTGAGTTCCCCTTTTTGGTTGTGTGGTCAGAAATTAACACCCACAATTTGGCGCCGTCTATGGAAACTTCAGGAGAATAGATGGCCAACAATGGGCTGGAAGAAAAGATTGGGGATGACATCCACAGTGGAAGTGATGAGCATGTAGATCCCAACGTCGAGGGAGAAAATCGCAATGAAGGAGCCCAAGATCCGAATCTTGGGGAAAAGGATGTCGGCAAAGAAGGTAACACCCTAAAGAAGGGTGGCTGAGAGGAGTATTACAACGAAAGCGACCTCCAGGTATGGAAGGATAGATGCTTGAGGAGGGACGACGAGATGAAAGGGATGGCAGACAAGTTCGTAGACCTACAGTCAGTCGTCAACTTCATGATGCAACCACCATTCCCATTGCAGGACACGCTGGCACTAGCAGCCAAGACTAATGCCCAGAAAGAAGGGTAGAAAAAATCCCAGTAGTCCCGTAGTGTGGCAAGGAAAAGGAGTACTCACATCAGCCTTTACGAGATGTCGGGCGAGCAGAGTCAATAAGAGGTGAGTCGCAGAAGATGATGTGAACAAAGGGGACCTATGTCAAAGAACCTCGACATATCCAGGGGAAGGGCCTTTGCTTTGACACAGTGAATCCAGGAGGACACACAATGACAGGGGGAGCAGCGCGCTAAAAAGGTTGAAATCTGTCAATAGCTGAGCTCCCGGCAGAACGAAGGAGGACTTGACAGACTACCTCTAGAGGAAGTGGCACAATGCCGATATCACATCCCCCATGAAGCCGAGAACGCCATTTTTAGTAGAGTTGGATACGTTTGAGGCCCCAAAGAGGTTCCACATGCCAAGGTTTCAAATTTATGACGGTAAGTCTGATCCGAACTTTCATGTTGGTTTATATTTGAATTCAATGGCTTTGTGGAGTGGGAATGAGCAGCTGTTGTGCAAGTTGTTCCCCTCATCCTTTGGGGAAATCGCATCGGATTGCTTCCACAAGTTGCCGAAAGGAACTATGAAGAGTTGGGAAGGCCTAGCTGAGATGTTTGTGGCTAGGTTTGTTACAAATAAGTTGCAGCCACTAAGGGTAAACTCTATGCTGACTTTGAACATTAGCAAGGGTGAAAGCCTCAGGGCTTATGCCAAGAGATATTATGAGGTGTTCAACCAAATTCTAGCCTGCAACCAGGAGCTGGCGGTCGTATAATTCAAAAACAGCTTGGATGATGAATGCCTGTTTCGAAAATCATTGGAAAAAACTCTACCAAAAAGTATGGAGGATCTCATGGCATGGATTGAGAAGTATACCAGAGCAGAAGAGGATGCGCAAGGAACAATGACACCAAAGCAAGAGAAGCGAAACGGCATGCCAAAGTGAGGCCAAGGTAATTCCGGTATAAACAGGCAAGAGATAGGGTTGAGGGCTGCACAGGCAGTCACCACGATATTTAGGATCCTAGTCTACAATGTTTTGGAAAAGATCAGGAACCAACTATATTACAGAGCACCGGAGAAGATCCCTGGCGAGTTTATTGGAAGAAGCCTTGGGAAGCATTGTGCTTACCACAATGAGAATGGGCACTTGACTCAAGGATGTAGGGCTCTGAAGACACACTTGGAGGATCTGGTCAAATAGTTTCACCTGAGAGACCTAGTAGCTGAGGTCAGGACAAGGGAAGAACAAGCAAGGCTACCCCAGGCACCGACAACACCACCGCCACCACAGCCACCACAGTAAGCAGATAGACCTCGAGTGATTAATGTGATTCACTCGAAGGTCAATAAGAATGATGTACATGGAGAGACTCAGAGAGTGAGGCACCTGTAGTATGTGTATCGAGTCCAACAAAAGACGCCTAAGACAAATGAGTACCGGGGACCAATGGTTTCTTTTACTGAGGTAGACCTAGATATGGTACAACATCCACACAATGATGCCCTAGTGATAACACTGAAGATTGGAAAGTTCCAGGTGAGACGCATATTGGTTGATCAAGGCAATTCTTGTGACATCATGTATGTTACATGTTACAAGGGGCTTGGCCTTCACCTAGATGATTTGGAACAATCCAACAACCCAATGGTTGGATTCAATGGAACGCCAACGTGGTCTCTAGGAGCCACGAATTTGGAAGTGCAAGCAGGCACCAAGAAGGTAAGCACGGAATTTACAGTAATTGACACCCCCTCCCCTTACAATGTTATCTTGGGTAGACAGTGGTTACATGCAATAAGGGTTGTTCCCTCAACATTGCACCAACTGTTGCGATTCCCAACTGAACATGGGATTGAGAAGGTCAGAGGGGATCAGGTGTAGGCAAAAAATTACTTCATGGCAGTAATAAAGTCCACCTGTAACGTGGGAGAAGTAGAGATAGTAGAAATTGATGACAAGGACATGAAGGTCCTAGATGATGCTGGCAAAGAACCAGTCGACAAGAGTGAGGAAGCTTTGAAGAAGATTACAATCCAAGAAGATGATGAAGTGCGTTTCTTCCTTCTCGGCTCAGGCTTAGCTAAGGAGGAGTAAAAGGAGTTAGAGGCTTTCTTATGAGCAAACATAGAATTGTTTGCCTGGATGTCCTATGAGATGCATGGCATTGACCCGAAGGTCACTTGCCATAGGCTTAATGTAGGCAGGTCAGCTAAACCTGTCATCTAGCGGGCAAGGAGGCCGACATTGATACATGTGGAGGCAGTCGAGGAGGAAGTGGACAAGTTGTTGGAAGCCTAGGCCATTCGGGAGGTGAACTACCCTACCTGGCTCTCCAACACAATGGTAGTGAAAAAGAAGAATGGCAAGTGGAGAGTTTGTGTGAACTTCACCAGCCTAAATAAGGCTTACCCCAAGGATAGTTTCCCACTACCTAAGATTGATCAATTAGTATATGCCATTTCAGGGCATGGAAGGATGAGTTTCTTGGATGCATATAGAGGCTACCACTATATAGCAATGTATGCTCCAGATGAAAGAAGACGACATTCATCACCCCGAAAGGACTCTATTGTAATAGAGTGATGCCTTTCAGGTTGAAGAATGCATGAGCAACCTACCAAAGGTTAGTGACCAAGATGTTTAAGCACCTGATTGGGAAGACAGTAGAGGTCTACATCCATGACATGATCGTGAAGACCAAAGAACTTGGGAACCATTTGGCCGACTTATAGGTGTAGACACCCCATTTTTGACCGACCTTAAGACTCAGACATCACCGATTGAGCGCTCGGTGACGTTGCATAATGTGCTCGTTCAGAAGTCTCAGAGTCGCGGCCGTGAGCCCCGCCTCCGGACTTCCGAACCCTCTTCTGTGCCTTGCCTCGGTTTGCGAACCAGACTCGGTTTTCTCTGTTTCTTTTCCCGAGGGGAGAGAGAGGTCCCGTGGACCATCTCTCAGTGGCAGTGGGCTACGTTTGATGGTCATAGGCCATTTTGCCCATTTCGGAGTCCGGTTTCCGATTTTTCGGGACCGTTGGCCGTGTGCCTCGGTTCGGGACCGCCTAACCATCTCCGTTTGCTCTGAATTTTTTGGCATACATCTTATTTACTCCCTTTCAAGGGACACTGGGGTCTGAGAAACCCACTTCGTGGTCGAATGCCACTTTCGGTACTCAACAGCCCGTTTTCGGGACCCCGAACTGCATGTTTTGGTCTCCGAGCATTCGTTTTGCATCGGTTTTCGTTCATTTTTGGCAGGTGCCTCTGTTTTATCACCAGGAAGGTCACTAGAGGGTGGGAGGCCAGCAATTATCTTAGCAACCAGTTATATTCCATTTTCGCCCTCCGGCGCCCGTTTTTCGCACTTCCGAGCCAATGTTGAACAACCTGGGCCCTTTTTCTTGAACTCCAAACCACATACTTGTGTTGTACACACATGGGAGGACCCTAAAAGTTAGTGGCCGGCCACTAATTCCACTTGACCCTTTTGAACCCCTCCTTCTGAGCCAATGTTGAACACCCTAGAGCCACTTTCTTGAACTTTGAACCACATATTTGTGTTGTACACACATGGGAGGACCCTAAAAGTTCATGGCCGGCCACTATTTCCATTTGACCCTTTTGAACCCCTCCTCAAAATGGCTTGTTCTCTCTCCTGTTTTAGAGTTTCCAAATTCGAACCACAGGGTTGTGAAGAGGAGACTTGGGAGGCCACCAATATGTGGTGGCCGGCCACTAATTGAACTTGGCCTTTTTGACCCCTAGCCGGCCGGCTAGGGGGGGTGGCCGGCCGGCCACCTGGAGCTCCAAAAAGGGGCCGGCCATGTTCCTCTCTCCTTCCATTTTACAGCTGTACAGCTGTTTCCCCCAGAAAATATCTATATCCGGGGGATATTTTGTAGGGGAACAAGGGGGCTTGATTTTCCCCTACACTTTGCTAGACTCTTCTCTCCCTCTCTCTTGGATATTGCTGGCCTCCCAACTCAAGAAAAGGGGTTACAAGAGTTGCTTGGAGAAGATACATACATAGCACTCCATTTCCTTCAAGTTTTGGGCTCCATTTCTTCATCATCTTCAAGCTCTACCACCACCCCTCCATTCCAGCAGCAAGGGGAAGAATTCCAGCAGCTTAGAGTCACCAAATCTGGTCCAAGAAGCAACAAAAGTGTTGGTCTTCAAAGGTAAGTCCAATTGCCCTCTTTTCTAGCTCATTTTTGCACCATCTCTAAGCCATACAAGCTTATTGATTTGAGCTCCAACCAAAACTGAAAAGGCCATTTTTTTGAACTCATTTTCTTGTTTCATTAAGGGCTCAACACTGTTTGAGCCCTCCATATTGCACTTGCTTCAATATCCTCCTTGAATGCCATTTTCTTGCATGCTTTGGCAGCCTATCATGCTTCTGTTTTTGGTCTTTTTACAGGCCTAGAAATAGTCTTATTTTGATCTTCCTAACATGTTTCATTAAGGGTCTTTGGCTGTTTGGTGAATGCTTTGCATACTTTGTGTTATAGCCACCTTTTGAGCCTCATTTTGCATTGCATTTTTAGCATGTTTGTATACTGTTTTGGAGTTTTTACAGTTCTGTAAATATGCTTATTTTTGGTCTCTCATCAATGTTGTAGAAGGAAATTTTTCAGTTTGGGCTTTGCATATACCACTTGCCTCTTTGGCCACCTTTTGGCCCTTTTTCTTGCGTAGGAGTGCAGCCATACCTGTGTTTGTTTTTATGTTTTTTACAGTTCTGTAAATATGCATATTTTTGGTCCCTCTTCAATGTTGTAGAAGGGAATTTTTCATTTTGAGCTGTGCATATACCACTTGCCTCTTTGGCCACCTTTTGGCCCTTTTTCTTGCATAGGAGTGCAGCCATACCTGTGTTTGTTTTTATAGTTTTTACAGTTCTGTAAATGTGCATATTTTTGGCCCCTCTTCAATGTTGTTGAAGGGAATTTTTCAGTTTGGGTTTAGCATATACCACTTGCCTCTTTGGCCACCTTTTGGCCCATT